ATGATGGTCTCCTCCAGATTTTGAGCATTGAGCGCATCCTGTACGTCGCTCATCCACAAACCAAAATTGATCTTGCCGTCATATTTCACAACACTAATCTTAGTGTTCTGAAAACCCACTTGAACTGTGCCTGTCATCTTGCTGCTTTCACCAATTACTTCACCCATAATCACAACTTCCAAATTGTAGAGAAAGATCCAAACTTTGAAAGAATAAGAAATTACCCAACTGAACCCTAGATTGGATTCCAAATAGAACTCCTAACCACACGAGGAAAGCGAGATCTTCAACGGCAACTTCAAACCCTAACTCCACCAAAGCCTAGAACTCCAAGAACCAAGCTTCAAACTGAATCTTCCTCCACCTAATCCAAAACCCTAGATCTGAATCTGAGCTCTGATACCACTTGTCGCGCGCCTTTGCGGAAGCCTTGCACGAACTCACAACGAACCTGTGATCACGAGTAGAAGAAAGACAAACTCTTGCACAAATCCAACCAATAAAGCCAAATCAATCCAAACACAGAGATATACGTGGTTCGGCAATTTGCCTACGTCCACGGGGAGAGGATGGGGAGATTTCACTAAATCAAGGAGAGTACAAAGGGTTACAATCACACAAATTCTCTCAAACTAACCCTCAACCAAAGATCTCACCTTGCTTTTTACGTGGTTCGGCAAATTGCCTACGTCCACGGGGCAAGGAAGGGGGAGATCTACTAATAGAGGGAGAGAATACAACTAGGGTTTACAATCACTCACAATCTAAACCCTCAAATAAACTCTCTCAAATCCCTCACAAACTCTCTCTACAAAAGAAACCAAAAGGAAGAAAGCCTCTGACACTTTTACTCAGCCGCTACCTTTCTTCCGTATTCTTTTACTTCTCTTTGCACCTGTCGCAGCCGCAAAAGAAGAAAACAAAAAAAAACTCCCTGCTTGCTCAAAACCCTAGGAACGATTAAAAGAGTTATATATAGGCTGGTGACTTTGGGAAGCGGGTGGGCCTTGCTGTGTTTCCGCGTGGGCTAGGGAGTTGTATGTTTTGTCCGCTGGATGCTTCATTCATGCGGCTTCTTTTCCAGGTCGTGGTCCCCACCTGCACACATTCCACATTTGATCACGATGCTTTCATATCAACCAGTTCCCTGTTTTTCATCATATCATAATCACGGTTAACAAAGCTATTTAAGTCGCAACTGTTAGAAATTTATCAAATAATTAAGATTATAGCATGCAGATAAATCCGAATAAAATAAACAATTAAAACTGGCCTGATCGGGAGCAGTCGTGTATTCACTGCCCTAGAAGATTGAGAACCCGCCTATCGCCCTGGCGCAGATGGTTCCCTTTCCCTAGCGGTAAAACCCCCCGGAAACAGCCGGCCTCTACACTCGGGCGAGAGTGCAGAGCTTCAACTCAGATGAAGGAAGTTGCCCATAAAATAAAACTAAGATATAATGAAAATAATATATGTAGGGGAGAGAAGAGAAAACAAGAGAGACTTCTTGTTATTTTTCTTATCGTTTTAAGCTCAACACACGGATATATATATATACACTCGGGCGAGAGTGCAGAGCTTCAACTCAGATGAAGGAAGTTGCCCATAAAATAAAACTAAGATATAATGAAAATAATATATGTAGGGGAGAGAAGAGAAAACAAGAGAGACTTCTTGTTATTTTTCTTATCGTTTTAAGCTCAACACACGGATATATATATATTGATGAAAACACACACAATACGCTTCATCTATTGAGCAAAGCGGGTTGAGCGTTAAAGGCCATGCTCACAATAAACCGACTCATGAGAGTTTCTAGGGGTTAGCCCAGCCCCCCCTAACCGCGGCCATCACGGTTCCTCTCACGTAGGTAAGTCCTCAAAGGGTACTACAGCTGTTTATTTAATACCCCCCACAATACACGCGTTGGACTTATTAAGAGTAAAACTCAGCCTAGCCAGCTGTATCATAAGAGCATCGTCATCATAGAGAAGGGGTAGTAGCAAATGCTACATAATGATATATAAATATATCTAGGTCGATGCTCCACACGAGTGTCACTAGTCCAGCTTGTTTCTACCACATTGAACCGACATTGGGACTACGTCTCCAAATAAGGGTTGGGTTGCCGCTGTCAGTGACCTCATCTATGGGCTTAACCCCATCTCCTTCGATGAATCCAGAACCACACTCCTGGATAATCCCTTAGTCAAAGGGTCATCAAGATTCTTTTCACAGACTTTACAAAGTCTAGAATCATAACTTTGCCTAGCAGGCGTTGTATTTATTTATCAAGTTCTTATTTTGTAATTAGTCCATTATATTGTTTGAAATTGACATTAGGTCATGATCTATGATCATAAAAGATCATAGTCTATGTCTGAAGATGTAAACACATAGTGTTTGTGCAGATTGACCTTAATATCTGAACATTTCAAACTAATGTGGAACTAAAAATTCTGCAGTTATGCATATGCACATACATGAATGAAATTAATAATAAAAACATGCAGAGCATAATAGGATTTCGTATCTTAAAATATATTTCATACTTCATAATTCAAATGCATAAAATTTTTTAAATTATTCTATTATAAGAGGTTACAAATTGGTTGCCTACAAAGGAGACCGTCCAAATTTAAATCGGTTGCCTACAAATGAGACCTTCCAAAATTAAATTGGTTGTCTACAAATGAGACCTTCCAAAATTAAATTGGTTGCCTACAAATGAGACCTTCCAAATTTAAATTGGTTGTCTGCAAAAGAGACCTTCCAAATTTATGTTTCCATTTTCTAGTACCACCTCTTATACAAATAATAATAATAATAATATTTGTACATACGTGCTTTAAATTTTTGAAGTGCATTCTTGCTTAAAACCTTGTAATTAATCATGTAACAAATGCAAGTTATCTAAAAAGACATATGAACATTTATTGCAATATTCATCAAAATGCAATAAAAATGATGAACTTTACATTTGAAGATTTGAAATATAATCCACCATATAAAATAGAATTTTAAAAGATGCACCTCTTTGATTTGGTTCGCTCATATATTGATCATTTATCATTAGGCAATATATGATGCAAGAAGCGTAATTAAATAAATGCATATGAATTTTTCTCATAATTCTGATTCCTCTTATTCCAAACCAAAAACTCCTAAAGTGAAAAGATTAAAGTTTTACCCGGGTAGTTAGCCAGGTAAGGATAGTAATAGAGGTTGATCAAAGATCAATTAAGTACCTCGTTCCTTGCAGAGCGCATTACGCAACCCTTAAATCTTGCCTTAGACACCAACTAATCCAAGAAAACTTGAATCGGTTCACTCAATGAGTTTTTGTTCCTTAACAAGAAACTTTAAAATATTTCCTATTGATGTTTGAACCTCATGATTTTCATGTCTTGAGAGTAAAAACTCATCTGCTGCAGACAACTGCCACTTAAGTTGCTGAACAAATTTGCATTCACTTTTACCACCTTCTGTACTAAGCTTATTAGATGCATAAACACTCCAAAGTATGGAATTATTAATAGAAGGCACCATATTGATAGATTAAAGAAATGAAGGCATTAAACCATGGTTTTCTTTATTCTTGTCAAAACCATGCATATGAGACTTTCAAACATAAATAAGTATTAAAAGCTCAAATTATTTATTGGTGATCATCAACGTTCAAATACAGAGCATATTCACTAGCACAAGGGAATAAGGGTAGGTTTTAGATGATTCTAACAAATATAAACTAGGCTTTTAGAAACCAATAAAGGTTGTTTGATATTCGTAACTTACAATAATTATTGATTATAAACCAACTATAAGACAAATGTAATTAACTGTTAAATTAAATTAACAGAAATATTTAGCTACAATTTTTTAATTATTTTTTTTTTAAAATAACCAAAACTGTTTACATGAACAGTAACTTTTTTAATAAAATGAACAGTACCGTTTTCAAAATAAATGAACAGTAACATCATTTTTAAAATTAAACAGTAACGTCATTTTTTAAGAATGAACAGTAACGACATTTTTATAAATGAGCATTAACATTCTTAAAAATAAATAAATAGTAACGTTCTTTTTTTTAAACCCCCGGAAACGGCCGGCCTCTACACTCGGGCGAGAGTGCAGAGCTTCAACTCAGATGAAGGAAGTTGCCCATAAAATAAAACTAAGATATAATGAAAATAATATATGTAGGGGAGAGAAGAGAAAACAAGAGAGACTTCTTGTTATTTTTTTTATCGTTTTAAGCTCAACACGCGGATATATATATATATAGGGTTGGAAAAGACGTTACAAAACCCGTAATTAATTCCGTAACGTTCGTCATAAATTTTGTAACGTTCCCCATAATTATATGGCCGTTACATATATTTTTAATTGCTAATTAAAACATGTTTTAATTATAAAACTTTATTACTATTCATGAAGGCAAAATTGTCTTTTCTTAACAAAATATCTAACAGTAACATATTCAAGTTAGGTTCTAATTTACCAAAATAGAAAATAATAAAACCACCCTTAAAAGATCCCTATGATTGAGGAAATCAATTGGTCAAATTTGAGATCAATCTGGATTCATTTCCTAATCAAAACTAACTCCTAAATCAATACCAAAAATAGTTATAAAAAACAAAAAACCAGATGTCTCTCAATCCAGAGGGAATTTTGCGAAATGGAGGGCGACAAACTAAACACAGTGGACTCAGTTGACTCCCATCTCGAAAAAATATGCGATTCTCATATATTAATCATTCGATTTTAACTTACTGTTTGTTTGGGAGATAGGATCCTTTCTTCATTGTAAGTCAATATCCTTTCCGGACCCCCATTTGGGTTTCTGACGGTCCATTTTCTCCGTGAGCGCATCCTTAACGCAGTATACATTAACCGCAGAGAATCAAAGATGGATAAGCATAAACATACTTACTTATAAAATTTTGGTGCAATATTTACATTGCGTGAAGGTCAAAAGAATTAATATTCCATCATGCACGAAAACAAAGCCGGAGCAAATGTATTCTTTTTCCAAGGAACAGCTCCGTGAAAGGACACGGAAATCTTGAGAACCAACAGAAAACTACAGGAAAAAAAAAACATATACAGGTTATCTTTCATCGCCACGGTTCAGTTGTAGCTGGGTTTACAATTATGCCCTTTTTCCATTATTTGGGTTTGATTTTGTGCAAAGAGCCTTTGTTCCCTTGGCACGTCTCCTCTTTAACACAGCTCTTCCACTGGTTGTCCTCATTCTTCTCCTGAATCCATGAGTTCGAGCAAGTGATTTCCGAGATCTTGATCTTTTTGTCAAACAAAGAGCAGCCTTTCCTGCTCTTACTTGGAGTCCACGATTTTTCTCTTTTATGGGTGCACATGAACTTAAATCAACCACCAAAGACAAGCCTGAAATTTTTACAATATAGTAGAAATGCTCAAAAGAGGATAGCAATTGGTACATGTAACATAATCTGTCTCCTTGGTTTGCCAAAACTTGTGGATTGAACTGAAAGCAAATATTTCCAATAAATCTACATAACAGTTGTCATAGAAAGTAAAAAGGATTCGCTCAAGAAAAAACTGTGAACTTTGTAACCAACATTTTAAATGGAGAACATCACGTTATAAGTTTGGAAAAAGATAATGTTGCAGTTTTCTAGTAATCATGTTAGATGAATGCTAAGTTGGAAATTTACTAATTTACAACAAAGATTGTGACACCCCCATTTTAGTCCCACATAGACTAATGTGAAAAAATGTTAGTGATTTAAATAGAAAAAAACTCAAGGCCCAAGAACAACTAATGTTAGCATTTTGGCTGTGAACTTTAGCCAACATCGAGTAGCTCTCGGTGGATCCCACGGCTTGCACGCGCTAACGGACCCATGGGCCCGGGGCGTGATAAAATGATATCAGAGCAGTTGCCAGTCGAAAGTGTGAAGCTAAGTGCTATACGGGACTAAATGCTACACCGCGTGAATGCGGTAGGAACCACCTCTAGGGCCCGTAGGAGCCACCTCTAGCGTCCACACCGCCTGACAGTGACACTAGGATGTGCCCATTGTCATGTCGTGACGACGATGATGTCATCTTTGTAAGATGGGGGTGATTGTGACACCCCCGCTTTAGTCTCACATGGACTAGTGTGAAGAAGTGTTAGTGGTTTAAATAGAGAAAAGCACAATGCCCAATAACAACTAGTGCTAGTATTAGTGGACTTTAGCTAACATCGAGTTGCTCTCAGTGGGTCCCACGGCTTGCACGCGCCAACGGGCCCGTGAGCCCGGGGCATGACAGAGATTTCGGAATTACTAGGCATATTTCGCTATGTATGTCCGATGTGATAGAAGTTACATGGGCTGGATATGGTGTGTACTATCAACTATGTACGGAAGCTTTAGCTAGCAATGGTTGATGATATTTGTTATCCAAGAATTCCATTATGACTCATAAGGATGAAGATTTAAAATCTTAAACTTCTATTTTCAAGTAATAAAAATAAGAGAAAATTGACTTTTTTAAATAGGGTAGAGAGGGATAGGGAGATCAATTAGCACGAATCAAGTTGCAAAAGAGGCTTTACTCGGCAGGGTGTGGATAATGTATGAGCCAAGCCCATACCGCATTTATCTTAAGAAAGCCAAGTTTAATATGGGAAAATTTCACAAAACCCTCTGATAGGATGCCTTGGAATCATATGACCTCTCTATTTCTATAAAGTGATCGTGATGCACTTCTATGTTTTCAGAAATTGTTAGTTGTGGCTCTTTTCATCAGTAAAAGTGACTCCACACTGCCTAGGGTTTTTCCCCCTTTAGACAAACTCACGTCTCTTCTTGTAAATTTGCATCTATTCTAATGCAATCTTGTTGCTTTTCCTACTTCTAACCGTACTCTGATTTTTATTGATATGGCAAGTCATTTTAAACCAAATGGTGGATTTGAGAGTAAGGAAGTGGCAATATCCCTTTGTAACTATAATGGTATCATGCACTAAGTGATTCTGAAGAATAATTATTTAAATCTTCGATATGCTAATGATACTGTCGTTTTCTCTTCAACTATTTTGAGGCTCGCATCAGAAATCTAAAAATTTACTCTATATATTCTTTGAAGGTGTTGTGGATCATCAATCTGTGGCATGTTCATTACTTTAACTGTCAAATCAAGCATATCCTTAAATGATTAATAACCTCTTATTGATAGAATTGAGAAGCGTTTAGATTGCTGGAAAGCTAGAACTCTTTCTAAATGTTGTAGTAGGGGAACACTCAACATATTCGTACCCGTCACTATTTGTTCACCAATCATAGATACGTATATGGATGCGGATATGCTTGGGTAAGGAAAATTCACATCCGTATCTACTAAAATTGGATACAGATATGGATTTACATGTGTATATATAAGTAGATATACATGCGGATACAAAACCAATATGAGAAATCAGATAATACTGAAAAAATATATAGTTCATATGATATAAGAGATTTCACTAATATGTTTGTTATATCTCAAAAGCTAAGATTAGATCTCTTGGTCATCAAAATTAACCTCAAATCGATTAATCTAAGGATTAAAAATATTGCAACTGTATCACCACCATATGTTCAGATATTTCAGGTATAAATCCGAATATTTCGCAACATATCCATATCCGTAACCATGTCCTATCAGATATAGAATTTAGTAATCTTATATGTATCCAAATGACTACGTGTATGGATATTTCCACGTATATGGATATTGTTTCACGTCCGTAGGCAGTAGTCTTGTTCTTATTAATGTATACTTCAACTTCAACTCCTGTTATATGCCTTTTCTTCAATGTTTTCTTCTATGAAATTAAAATCGTAATTTTGAAAGTAAATCATAATTCTAAAATTAAATGTAATTCTTAAATTGAAATTAATACTTTGATTTCTTTAGTATTAATTTTTCGTATTAATTGTAATAAGAGGATACATGAATAATAATGTGAAATAATTTTGATGAAGAAAATGTGAAATTAATGCCACAAATTTAAAAGTTGAGTAAAGGACAAAATTATACCTCAGAATACCAAAAAAGTGATGAATCTCTACAAAAACTAAAGCAATCAAATACTATGCATTATGGAGTTGAGGAGTAATTAATAGGTTCATGAGAGTTAAAGAAAGAAAGAAGAGAGTAAAGGATTAAGGCGGATCCCACTAACTTGTGTATTGTATTTGAGAACTTGGGCTTAGAGATAAGTATATAAAGATCATTGGGCTCAAAGGTACAAAATAAAGTAGTTGAGCTTAAAGATAAAACAGGATAAACCATTGAACCTTAAGGCAAAAGCCCCTTTTTTTAATAAGGTAGAAAAGGATAGGGGAATCAATAAGCGGCACAAGTCACAAAAGAGGTTTTACCTGGCAGTGGGTGGTTAATGTATGACCCAAGCCCATATCACATTTATCTTAAGAAAGCTAAGTTTAATATGGTAAAATTTCACAAAACCCTCTAATAGGTTGACTTGGAATCATATGACCTCCCTATTTTTATAAAGCGATCGTGACGCACTTCTATGTCTTCAAAAATTGTTAGTTGTGGCTCTTTTCATCAGTAAAAATGACTCCACGTTGCCTCGGGTTCTTCCCCCTTTAGACAAATTCACCACTGTTCTTGTAAATTAGCATCTACTCTAATACAATCTTGTTGCTTTTCCTACTTCTAACCCTACTTTGATTTTTATTGATATGGCAAGTCATTTTAAACCAAATGGTGGATTTGAGAGTAAAGAGGTGGCAATATCCCTTTGTAACTATAAAGGGGTTAATGCGGTTTGAGGTCAAAATAGGGAGGGTTATGTGAAAGTTTCCGAATTAACATATATGGATTGCAAATTTCACAAGCTCTATATGACGTCTTAGAACTTATTTTTGCCTCTAGAAGCTTAAACACTTTCGAATTGTGTTCTCAATGTCATTTACATTGTTTATTTATTGATTTTTTTCGCTTGGTTGTTGATGTCTTTAGTCATATCTTGTATCTAGCCGAGGATCAACATTTCACTGAAGGTGTAAGCCCAAGTGATTCTAGAGAATAATTAGTTAATCTTCGATATGTCTTTAGTCATATCCTGATACTGTAGTTTTCTCTTCAGCTATTTTGAGTCTCACATCAGAAATCTAACAATTTACTCTATATATTCTTTGAAGGTGTTGCGGGTCAATTTTCATTAATCTGTGGCATTAGATGGTGGTAAATGAGATGACTTAATCATGTTCATTACCTTAACTGCCAAATTAAGCATCTCCTTAAACATTGTTAATCTCTCTAGAAGTGAGTGATAACTTGTTATTGACAGAATTTAGAAGTGTTTAGATTGCTAGAAAGCTAGAACTTTTTCTAAAGGCTGTAGTAGGGGTGCACGTAACATATTCGTATCTGTCACTATCCGCATAGCAATCATGGATACGTATGCGAATGTGGATATGCTTGTGTAAGGAAAATTCATATCCATATCCACTAAAATTGGATACAGATACGGATTTACATGCGTATATGTAAGCGGATATGCATGTAGATACAAAACCGATATGAGAAAAATCAGAAAATACCGAAACAATATATAGTTCATATGATACAATAGATTCACTAATATGTTCATTATATCTAAAATGCTAAGATTATATCTCTTGGTCATCAAAATTAACTTCAATTCCATTAATCTAAGGATTAAAATTATTGCAACCGTATCACCAACATATATTCAGATATTTCAGGTACAGATCCGGATATTTCGCAACATATTCATATCCGTAACTATGTCCTATCGGTTATAGATTTCAGTATCATATGTGTGGGTATGGATGTTTCCACGGGTACGGGTATTGTTTGGCAGTTGGATACAATAAGAAGTTAAGAATGCCACACAAATAGCCAAAACCTACACCATCCATCCTTCAAACAATTGGGGAACTCAACTTAGGCTGTCTAAATCATCAAGCACTAAACGTAGGTGCCAATTTCAATGTTAAAAGGTAAATCGAGGGCTTTTCACTTAAATTGAACATATTGAACACTGGTGTTAAAAAATAGCTTACATCATAGAGAGGCTCCACAAATTGAGCTACTTTAAAAGAATATGAGCAAAACTAACCACATGGGTCTTTTCAAAATCACAATGAAGTGTGAGATCAACAAAATGCAAAACTGGAACAGCAAAATTAACCAAATTGGGCTTCTACAAATCACCCAAGTGAAGCAAAAATAATCAAATGGGTATTCTAAAAATTTTCTCTCCAGGACCCAATGCATACCTGAGAGAGAGGAAGGGAAGGAGAGGGAGGTTGAGGAGAGCGAGAGGAAAGAGGTCTGAAGGAGAGAAGGAGAGCGCTTTGAGACTGAGAGAGAGCTGCTGCTTCCGATTCTATTGGTGCCGTTGACGAGAGAGAGTGAAGCCACGGGGAGCAGAGATAGGCCATTGCTCTCTGTGTTCCTTTCTCAATTTGGACAAATTTTTAAAACATACCATTTTGGGTTTTTATTTGCAAAAACCGACCTCTTTTGAAAATATTTACAAAAACCGACATGTTTTCAGCCCAGCGCTGAAAACAGGTCGGTTTTTATTAAAAGTTTTCTGAAACTTCAAGGGAGTTCAACTCCCGTGAAGTTTATTGAGAAATTAAACTTCACGGGAATTGAACTCCCGTGAAGTTTAATTTCTTCATAAATCTTCACGGGAGTTCAACTCCCGTGAAGATTTATGAACATATGAAACTCCACGGGAGTTCAATATACTCTCTAATTTTTGTATACTCTCACTATTTGATTGTGATTATATGTAAAAATCTAGATTTTAGAATTTAATTGTGAATTATTTATGAATTTTGTGAAAAAATGTGAAAATTAGAGGGGAAATTATCAATAAATGTGAAAATTTGAGGGGAAATTATCAATAATTTTGTAAAATTTGTGAAGAAGTAGTGTGCAAATTATCAATAATTTCGTGGAATTAGTGTGGAAATTATCGATAATTTTGTGAAATTAGAGGGGAAATTATCAATAAATGCGAAAATTAGAGGGGAAATTATCAATAAATGTGAAAATTAGAGGGGAAATTATCAATAATTTTGTGAAATTTATGAAGAATTAGTGTGGAAATTATCAATAATTTCGTGGAATTAGTGTGGAAATTATCAATAATTTTGTGAAATTAGAGGGGAAATTATCAGTAAATGCGAAAATTAGTGTTACTACATATGTATGACATAAATTAGATTTTAGAATTTAATTGTGAATTATTTACGAATTTTGTGAAGAAAAAAATAAATAATTTTGTGTATTTAGAGGTGAAATTATCAATTAATGTGGATATTAGAGTTACTACCTAAATGTAAAAATTAGTAACAATCAATATTTATTTGGCTTTTCATGTAATATTAATCTTAAATTTTTCACTCTTCAGAGGTAACGATGAACGATCGAATCGTAATTCTCTGTTCTTATGATGGGAAGATTAATTACCTCGAAAATAATATGCCCGTTTATGAAGGAGGCGCGACGAGATCGTTGTTCATAACAAAATCGTGTACTTTCGATGAGTTGGTTAATGAATTACACAAACTTACATTAACCAACTCACGTGAGTATTATCTCAGTGTGGTTTACAATTATCCTGTTGTGGGGAACAGAACAAGTGGCATTCAAATATCAAGTGACTACAATATGGGTCTCATTCATGTCTTACACGACGAGAAGCGTTCGGTCGAATTGTTCATTGAAAAACATCAGAGGGATTTGGGCAAATCGTTGAACTACGAAGGAATGTATTCCCGCATGTTGGAGGACCCTGAAGTTGATTCCGTAGGCTTTTTATCTCCTCAACAAGATGAATGTTGGACACAATCACAATACATGAGCGGTCCTTCGTTCGTGGGCACTTCGAATGCTTTCGATACTAACACAAGAATTCAAGAAGATAATGTAAGTGTCGAATCCGAGAATGATGATGAAGAGGAGGGATTACAAATTAATAGCATGATCTTGATAGATCGCGATGACGGGGAAAACCAACACATCGACGGATGTTATGTTAATAATGAGTACGTCGTCTTAGAGGATTCGCCGCCCGATGAACTTCAAGGAGATGAATGGATTGATAACTCCGTGATGGAAAGTGTTCCTATTGGCACTAATAGCGGTGTTGATACACAGGCCGAGGACTTCTCATTCATGAAGGCAGATCTTTACGAGAGTAAGGAGAAATTAATCCATGCTATTCGCACGTATTCTATTGTAAAAAATGTGAAGTTCAGGCCAACCAAAAATAATACTACAAGCTATAATGTGGTTTGTTTCTATCGCAAAGATGACGATGTCGAAGATAATAGTGGACACCACGACGGCAATGCGAGGTGTCCGTGGAAGCTTAATTCACGCTCAGGTGTAAGAGTAGGCGGGCAATTCAAAATCACGACATACAATGGACTCCACACTTGTAGCAATCCTCGATTAGAGATGAATAACAAGAATTTTATATATCGATTGATTTTACCGCATCTGAGGGAGGATCTTGATCTAAGGCCGAAAGATATCCGTCTTTTAGTGTATAAAGCCACTAACTTGGATATATCATATCACAAGTGTTAGAATGCTAGGAGGAAGGTGATGATAAAAATATTCGGGGATTGGGATAAATCGTATGAGATCTTACCTCATTATCTTGAAGCACTCAAAAGGGAAAATCCGAGGACTGTCTACGAAGTATCTTCGGACCCCGTTGAGGGCGGAGAACAGCGGTTCACCGGCGTATTTTGGGCATTTGGGCCCTGTATTAAGGGGTTTCGATATTGCCGTCCTCTTCTTAGCATATGGAACCCACTTATATGGTAAATACAAAGGCGTTTTGCTTGTTGCAATCAGAGTTGACGCGGATGGCGGATTGTTTCCTTTAGCATTTGCAGTGGTTGATGTTGAAAACACAGATAATTGGGCTTGGTTTTTTGCATGCATTAGATATCATATCCCTAGTGTAGGGACGCGACCGATTACATTCATATCCGATAGGATGAAAGGAATTCCAAGAGCACTCCAACGACATTTCCCGCCACCACATGCACATCGCTATTGCTTGCGACATATTAGAGACAACTTCAAAAAGAAGTATGGAAATGCTCAGGTTCAAGACTTACTTTGGCAAGCCGGTTGTGCAACAGTAAAATATGTTTATGAACAAATACGAGAGAGGATTAAGTTCATTTCACGAGCTGCATATGATTGGATCGAAATTAGTTTGGGTCCAAACAATGTTGATAAGTGGGCTTTATGTGAGGATGGCGGCAAACGGTTCTGTATGATGACTATGAACGCGTCTGAGAGCTTCAATGGCGTGCTCAAGGGAGCACGCGGCATGCCAATACAGGAACTAGTTGCTAAAACTTTTTACAGGCTTAATAAATTCTTTCTCCGACGTCGAGAACTTGGTGAAAATATGCGCTCCCAGCTAACACCGAAGGTTGATGAAATGCTAGCGGCTCGGATTGTACAAGCTCGGTCCTTTCAGGTCGTACGATACAGTTTTAATGAATGGGAGGTTATTGAGGGAATAACCCATAGAGAAAGTCGCTCTTACAAAGTCAATATGTTGGTGGATCACACTAGTACATGCACTTGCAATGTACCGCAACTACAATGTATTCCTTGTTCACATATTGTAGCAGCTTGCTCCGATCTACAGGGTGGTGCTCGAATTTCACATTATGAATCTATCGTGGCTTGGTATTCTGCATACAACTATTAACAAACGTACAAAGAGTGTTTTCGTCCACTGTACGATAGTCGACATTGGACACAAGACGAGCCACGGATATTACCTCCCTTGTATAAAAGATCGGCGGGGCACCCTCGTACCGTGCGTATTAGAAATAGTATGGGTGATGGTCGTGAAGGAGTTAGGAGGAGAAATAAGTGTAGTAGATACGATCAACCGGGCCATAACAAAAATAATTGTTCAGTTAGGATTAGGCATTGATGTTGTAATTTGTAGCGGTTTCGATCTGTGTTTGTTTTCGTATGTCATTTGTGATTGTAATTTGTAGCGGTTTTGATCTGTGTTTGTTTCCGTATGTCATTTGTGATTGTAATTTGTATCGTTTCGTACTATGTTATATAAATTTGTGATTGCTTTCTTCATGTTGCGCATTCGTTTGTTGTTTATATATAACTAGGTTAGTATTTTAACAGAAAGATCTAACACATTGTACATTGTCTTCTAATATTATTCTCAGTTATATTCATTATGGATCCAGGACCGATATGCCCCAACATTTTGACCCTCCAGGCGAGCCACGTTTCAGACCATATTAGCTCAGGACAGGTAAAACATCTTTTGTATATGCTACTTAGCATTAGCACTAATTTTAATTTTTCGCATTATACTTAATCAATTCTTTTTGATGTGCAGCCCGTACCAGACATCACCATGATCGAGAATTCCCAGAGCCATTCAGCTTGGGTCATTGAGGATGCGAGAGTTCTAGCGCTGATCTCTCAGGCCGGTTTCCGGGAGTGTTCGACGGTTCGATATATTAGGCTTGATTGGCCGCTTATCACTGCACTGATTGAGAGGTGGAGGCCAGAGACCAACACCTTTCACATGATTGGCCGCTTATCACTGCACTGATTGAGAGGTGGAGGCCAGAGACCAACACCTTTCACATGCATATAGAGGAGTGCACCATTACTTTACAGGACGTGGCCGTCATACTTGGGCTCCGGATCGATAGGCCGGCAGTTACGGGCACCGATGATCATAGTTGGCCGAAGGTATGTGCTAGGCTTCTTGGACAGGTTCCTGACTTGAGGAGTGGTGTGATGAAGCTATCATGGCTTCGTCAGACATTTCAGGGCGATATACCAGAGGATGCCAGTATGGAGACGCTTCAGTTCCATGCTCGTGCGTACATATTGCACATGATAGAGTGCGTGCTTTTTCCTGATGCGAACAAGGCTCTTGTACATGCACGATGACTGCCGTTGCTGGTGGATTTTGACGTATGCGGTGCACGGTCGTAGGGCAGTACGGTGTTGGCATACTTGTATCGAGAACTGGGTAGAGTATCCCTAATGCAGAATAAAGAATTCAAGGGATGCTGCACATTGATACAGATTTGGTCATGGGAGCGCATTCATATTGAACGCCCTACTTTACTTATGCACCGTGACCTATATGGGCAGTTTCCTTTGGCGTACAGGTATAATTATACACACAAATTTTATTCACACAAAATTTGTACTTATATATTCTCTATTCTGCATATAAGTATAACGTGCGGTATGCTAAGTACCGATCAACGACGCGCCATCGTGAGTTTTACCGAAATGAGCTTGATGGCCTCCAACACGAACAGGTAAATATAAATCTCAAGTCGTTATGAACATTATAGTTTTGTTGTTGATACTGATAAATGTTTTATTTTATTTCAGTTCAAGTGGAGACCCTATACACCGCCGGAGCTCCATATGCATTCTCTTGCACCCATCTGCCGAGATAGTCCCGACATGTGGAGAGCCAGAGTTCCATTGATTTGTTGGAAGATCGTGGAGAAGCATGTCCCTGACCGTGTGCTATGACAGTTTACGCTCTCTCAACATGTGCCAGATCCTGTTGAGCAGATCGATCGTCGGCGGTGACCTACTTCACACCATACCAACTGGGCCGTAGTCCGTGCAACCTACATAGACAGGTGGGATTTCATCCAGGATACGAGGTCCACAGCTGTTGACTATACCGCGTATATGCGTTGGTATTAGGGTATCACACGTAGATAGATCACACGTGAACCACAGCCATTAGCTGGACACATGTCACGCCCAACGACAGATAGTTACATCCCTAGTAAGATGAACGAGAGAGATTATGTAAGTTTCTAAGCTAAATTATAATATTTTTTTCTTGAGTTGGTACTTAATAAATTGTTTACCTCACAGGTCTATGCTTTTGATAGCATTGAGGATGATATTGATGCGACTGTGCCTGAGATTCAGGATCAGGTGGCGTTAGGACTCCTCAGCAGGATCAAGAAGACCATAGCACAGGTGTTTCATAAGACTCACGTCGACGAGTTCGCAGGCCGTGAGGACAGGTCTCGATCATTTGGACAGGCGTACACTCGGCGCCGACGACCACGTGATAATGACGCCGGCACTTCGCAGGCCGATGGAGCCGGCACTTCGCATGCTGATGGAGCCGGCACTTCGCATACTGATGGAGCCGACACTTCTCAGCCTCATACACATCCGGATACTCAGATAGTCGAGGCTCATCAACGCGGGGGACGGGGAAGAGCGAGAGGGAGGGGGAAGAGAGTGAGAGGAAGGAGAGGAGCTATATTGGGTTGTATTTGAACTTATTTTGTTAAAATTTGTAACTTGTATGAATTTTCAAATACTATACTTTTGTGGATCGATTATAGCTCGATATGTGATCTTTTTGAGTATTATTTGATTCGTGCGTGTTTAAATTATATATATATTGTAGTAATTGTTGTTAACAGGTAAATAGTTGTATATATGAGTTAAATAGGTAGATGTATACAAAATAGGTAGATGTATACAAAACAAGCACAGCAGCCTGTGCATGTTTTGTAAAACCTGCAACTTCACGGGAGTTCAACTCCCGAGAAGTTGCAGTCTAAATTTCCCAGAGAGCGATTCTCTGGGAAATTTGGCCTGTAACTCCACGGGAGTTGAACTCCCGTGGAGTTTTAAACCCTCCAACATACTTCACGGGAGTTCAACTCCCGTGAAGTTTTTTTTAACAAATTAAACTTCACGGGTGTTGAACTCCCTTGAAGTTTATAAGTATGCTAAACTTCACGGGAGTTCAACTCTCGTGAAGTTTCGTAAATTTTTTTAGAAAAACCGACCTGGTTTCAGCGACAGCGTTGAAACCAGGTCGGTTTTTCTAAATATGTTGAAAAGCAGTCGTTTTTTGCAATTAAATAGTGAATAAAGTTGGTTTTGAAAATTTGTCCTTCTCAATTTTGCTTTGAGAGATTGCCTGGCAGAGAAAAAAGAGAGGAGCCTGGATTCGGTTGGCCTCTCGTGGAGCTTTTGGTAAATTATGGCCGTTGATCTTGCGGCTCACAAGATGAGAGCCGTTGGACGGGACTCTTTTGAGCTTTCTGAGAGGGTTATTTGCGCTTGAATACACCGGCTTCACATTATTTCAAGGACAAATTTTCAAAATAGATTCTATTAGAAATTTATTTTTAAAAATCAACTCATTTGAAATTTAATTATCATTTTTGACGAAATGGTAAATATCGAAAATGGTAAATAAAATTTGAAAACTTCACGGGATTTTAAATCCTTTGAAGTTTTCACACTTCTGCAACTTCATTAGCATGGTTAATCAGACACTAAACTTCACAGGATTTTAAATTCCATGAAGTTTTCGAACTTTATTTATCGTTTTTAACCTAGTTTCCACCAAGTGGCTGAAACCGAGTCCAAAATGGCAATTAAATCGCAAAGGGGTCGTTTTTTTAAAAATAAATTACTAATGAGGTCTATTTCAAAAAAGTGGGATCTCTTTTGTAAATTGCAAAAGGAAATAATCAGTTGAAATGGGCCCCCATTTTATTGTGTCAAGTACAAGAATAATGCAACTCATGTTAGTACATCAATCATTTTCCATGTTAAATTTCCTTCTGGTTACTAGATATCACACGGGATTTATGCTGCATGCATAGAGTACTGACTACGGCGTGATATATGAACATACACAATATCTCACCCCAAAATAATAATAACAATGATAACAATAATAATGACTTGGCAGAAATCATCCCTAAATAGAACAATTTCCAGTACATCCTCGAGATGGAATCTACAAGAATATGGATAAGCTAGTTTTCTTGCGTGTTCCCTCCTGCATCCCCAGAATGACAATAATTACGAAATACAGTTTGCTCAATAAAGCATGAATATGTGACTCAAGAGCAGCTAGGGATACAATATTTCTCATACACGTACTGTTGTGCGCGGCAGAAGCCTCGAAGCGACACGAACAATCCAAGAAATAAATCACAACTAATAAGCCAAACACAATACCATAGCAAGACAACGAGTTTAACGTGGCTCGGCAAGTTGCCTACGTCCACAGGGGAAGGAGAGGGAAGTTCTTACTATTAGAAATCAAGAGAATACAAATATAGTTACAAATCTCACCGATCAAACCCTAAAACAAAGCTCTAGATCTCTCACAAATCTCCCACAATTAAATGTAGCAAATCCTCTCCCAAAGACTGCTAAAAAACGTCCTTGCTTAACCCTAACTAATCAGGATTAGAGTTATATACTAACTCAAAACGAAACGGATTGAAATACCAAAGCCCAGCCCAAAACAGACTGCGGTCGACCGCGATGGTCGACCACGCAGGTATCGCTGTCGACCGAACACCCCCGACAGAGAATAAATCGGCTACAGGAAACTCACGGTCGATTGCCACGGTCGACTGAACCAATTCCCGAGAGTTAAATCCATTACAGGGTCCGCGCGGTCGACCGTGGCGATCGACCGTCTTCAGCTCCGAGTCCTACTGCCTGGCCGTTCTCCTGCTGATTTCCTGCACTTCTCCCACTGCTTCTTCACGTACAACTATACTTAAAGAGTTTTCTGATAAAAAAACTCCCCAATAAACCGTAGAAATATATTTGGGGGGAAATGAACGTACGGAAAAATACACTAGATGCAGTAATTCTTGTCAGCGCCACAACTGCGGAAGCACAAATTAC